ACACCTCGACCGCACAATTATAAACAGCAATCTTGCTCTATACATTATAGAATACTCTGCCACTTTATAGTGTCGTACGAATTGTAGCAAAATCAAAGGTTGAATATTTTCTAAAAAATGGATATGTTGTAAAATAGTCATCACTGAATATAAAAAAGTATGTACAACATTTTTTTTATGCGGAGGTGGGTAGCCAACAATTTCAAAATGGCCGCCATTTTTAAACCTTTTATTACCAATAATTGTACTTTTACGATATTAAAAGATGCTAATATACTAAATATTATTTCACATAAGTGACAAAAAATATAAAATAACATTTTACCTCAAATGTGCAAAGCTCATATCCAAAATGGACCCCAATTTAATTATTTTAGCTATTTTTAGCATATATGTAAATTCAGTTAATTACCTAATTAGTCCTTGTCTATTGTGCAACATATTCGATTAAAAAAAATACAGCCAAAAAATGCGACCATCTAAAGTTTGCTGCACAATAACATCTAAATAATAATAATAATAGTAAATAGGATTTGTGTCGTGACATCACCTTCTTTAAATAACTTTAAGAAATTGTTAAAATCTCTTATTTCATCTTTTCTACATCCCGTTCAGTTTTGTTTTTGTTTTTGTTTTTTGTTTGTATTTTTTTTTGTTATCGTGATTTTTGTTGTAAATTTGCCGTTGGAGTTATTTGTATTCTGAGTTTTGAGTTGACTTTCTTCATTATTTGTACTATTAAATTATATTATTATTATTATTATTATTATTATTATTATTATTATTATTATTATTATTCTTTCTTTAGGCACACAACATAATGTGCCAAGGATTGCCAATAGCGAATATATATCACTGTCCTACTTGTAGGTGACAATCCATACACAAGACAAACATAAACACACACACACACGATGCTTTACACAAACTAAATCTCAATATGAGATTTAGGGAGTGGAGTTGTTTATGTCGTGAGAAAAAATCCTGCAACTGGCAGGAATTGAACCCAGGACCCTGGGATTGGAATGCAAGCATCTTAACCACCAAGCTATTCAACTCCACTCAAATATCACCATTCATTCGTGCATTGATTCATTGATTCTTTCATTCTTTCGTGTATAAGAGACAGGCATATACGTTTCTAACAAAACATGCAGCTCACTTCAAAAAGTGAGTGTAGGCCTACTTACGAGTGTGTGTACAGCCTGTCTCTTATACACATCTAGACTATCACGGCCCCGGCATTGATTTCTGCATCAGTTATAGGCGTTCCACATTCGGTATTAGTCAGCATACCATCAGAATTATCTCCTACACGAACCTGGGCGCCAGCCAATCGTTCCTTGCAGCAATCTGAGTATATTTAATGGTATCAAATTTATACATTATCTGTCAATAAATACTGCCAAACAATATATTTTCTAATTGTGCCATTGTTATGCTTGGAAATATTAAAGGCTTCTAATGATGCATTACATAATTTTTTTTTAAAATAAATGATTTATTCGAAATTTTGTACTGGTTCATATTCTCATGTGTATATCGGATTCTGCATACTCAGCTTGAACACAGAGTATACCAACGAAAGTCAGAGAGAGCATCGGGTGGAAGTGAACCAGTATCAAAGATTAACAGTTACTCTATGATATTCATCATTCATCCTTCTCAGTATTTCTCAATCTCAATCAAACCATCTGTTAATATTCTCCATGCCGCTGTCTCTTCTTTCAATACCAGCTCATCTCTCCAGCTCCCTCCTTAGTCTGCCCCTCTTTCTTCTTTCATATAGCGGTACACCTCCATTTAGTTTTTTGAATGCACTACTACGTGCCTTTGATTTATTTGCTTAGTGTAAGTCATTGCCGATAATGCTTCAGTGGAAGTTCGTATTTATTGCTAGCATTATTATATATTATTGAAATATCCTATAATATGGACGCATTGACATACCTTCTCGATTGTAAATTCTCACATATGCAATCCTGTAGGGCCTTTCTAGATCTACCATCCACCAATTGTTAACTGCTTTCTCTATATGTAAGGATGAATTATTTTTAATATCATCATTGACATCCATAATCAAAATAATAATAATAATAAACAACAACTAAAACAACAGCAATAACAACAACAATAACAATGACAATGACATTATGACGATGACGACAATGATGATGATGAGGATGATGATGACGATGACGGTAACGGCGACAGCGGCGACGACGACGACAATGACAACGATGAAGATGATGAGGAAGAGACGTAACACATCCTTTCAATGCTTACATTTTTTGTGTGCAGTGAAATCATCATCATCATCATCATCATTGAGGGTCATTTAAAGTCCTGCCGTTTTAAACCATTTAAAGGGAATTGAACTTCCCAGACATGGATATAAAAAAAAATGGTAATGCATATCATCACCTTTCTGGAAAGAATCGTCGTAGCCAAGGAAACAATATGCAATTTTAGGGAGGTTCCGGTGTAGGAACGTGGGAAATATATACACAAATGGAAAGGTCAAATGTGGAAAGAGGATACACTTTCGGCGTGTGTCTAGTAATGTTTTTATAATTATTGTTAATTATTGTCAATATTGGCTCTTTAATGAAACTAAAAATTACATAGGCATACACGTTCCTAACAAGGCAATTGGCTCGCTTCAAACGTGTGTACGGCTACTTACGAGTGTGTGAGCAGGAATTTTGTCCGTAGTCAGTATCAGGGTCGCCATCAACTGCCCTTTCTGGGGCTCCATTCCATCCCTCAGAACTCTTCGTAATATATTAGTGAGATCTAAGTAAGAGGGCGGTAGACATTACTCTAAGGAGACGTTAAGTTTACCTGCTCCGCAAAAAAAAATCTTCAAATATCGTTTTACAATTGAAGTCTACTTCAGAAAATTGTATAAAGAAGATATATGTTTAAAGAAAATAAAGGTAAAGCATTTTTGGATTTATTGTGAGTCTTACCTGCGATGGTTGCAGAATACGTTCCAAGATAGACAAATAGGAAAATCAACTTACAGCCCATAATGAAAAACTGCAGTAAGAAAAGGGAAAACAAATAACAAATAGATAGATTGATTTAAGTAAGAAAAATGGAAGAGGAAAACACTTTTGGTGATGATGACGGTGAAAACGATCATAATGATCATAATAGTGGCCATCATTATCGTTACCTAGGGTGCAGCAGTGCTAGGGTGTAAAATCACGGGTGTGCGCGACATAAGGTTTGTTTGAACTGACTATGTAATCTGTTGGTAATTTTCACCTTTATATTCACCATTCTTCTTGACAGAACTCTTACTGACTGTTATAATTAGTTGGTTTTGTAAAAGTTATAGCTATACTAATGTATATAAATACAAAAAAAAAAAAAAAAAAAAAAAAAAACACAAAAATAAAAACAAAAACAAAAAACAGCGTGATTCAGTGAGCTGATACCCTGATACCATGTGAGCTGAACCATGGAAATTTTTAAAAACCTTTAGTTTCTTTTTCAATTCCAACACTTCCCCCTTTTATTTGTAGCTAGAGGGTTGAATTCTCGGTCATAATCATTTAAAACAGAGTTTAAGAGTTGGTCTGTAGTGCAATATAGTTCAGACCTCAGAAAGTCAATAATCCAGGCTTTATAGCCGGGAATTTGTAACAAAAACATTACTTTTCCGAAATGTTTTTTGTTACAAAATGTACGGATCAGAGTTATGGAAAGCCACAGTTTACACCACGTATAGCTCATGTGGACGTTAAAAAAAAATTAGTACAGAATTTGAAATATAAAACCACCATAAAAAAATATAAATGCCTATGGACATACCTTGTTACAGTAACCAGTAAATAACTTTTCACTCGAACTTCACTTTAAATTTAACGTCTGATTCCAGCAGAGGTTGTACGTCAACTGTCAGCAATATCAACCTGGAATATATATATATACATTATGTAAGCATTAATTAGATCAATTATCAAAAGAAATATGTATATGTTAATATACATGTCTATAAAGATCAGTTGTTTGAAATCTCGTAAACTTTTTTAATTAATTACCACATGAATTTTTTTTTTTTATAGCTGCAATACACCGATATTAAAAGTCATTAAATACGTAAGACTTGTTAAGTTTATTAGCTGATAAATTTTTTTTAAGTCGAAAATAAAAAATACCATCCAAGAAAAAATTTGAAACCATCATATGGATCAAAAATTGTCTCTTTCTGAACTATATTAAAGCGTAATAAACAAACGAAAAACTAAACTAAGAACAAAGTAGTTAGCTATATTAGCTAAAAGTTATTTAGCCCTACCTCAACTGATAGGTAAATACTAATGAATAATGCAGGGTGGCCCCCGTCGGGGAGAAAAACCACACTTCGTCAGGGAGAAAACAACAATTAGGCCTATATGTAATTTTTACATATTAGTACACTATAAAATCGATTAAATAAGCCTTTGAAACTCCTAAATTGTTAACATTTCCAGTGGGTCCTTCTGGTAGTGAACTTGGCAGTACGCCGGGAGACCTATTCTCTTCCGAAGATTGTACTGCGCTCTTTAACGTGCACATGGGTCATAAATGCACACAGGCCAACGGCTACGTTTCATCCGAAAGACGGTGCGCTATTGTAACTTGTATTTCAGCCCTCCAGCTTCAGCTGAAACACAATTAGAGCGGCAGCGGTGGGAATTGAACCGGGGACCTAGAGATCTACACGGTTTAGTGCACACACAGTGGCTACCACCAGATTAGCCGACTGAGCTAAGCTGCTCTATGAGAATGTGCCACATGATGAGCCAATTCCAATGTAAAATGAAAATGAATAATAATTATTATTTTATTATCGAATTAATAAGCCGATAAAATATTGTATATTAAAAATATGATAACCAACTATAAAAGGTGTTCATAAACTATATGTAATAAAAACCATAAATATTGCAATTTTCATTTTTATTAGCTAACATTACACCAACATTAATAATGTTACGCTTCATGCCACCAAATCCTCTAAGCTCTTTGCAATACACACATTAATTGGATCAAGCACATATGGAACACAAAATCAGCTCCCGAGACAACTCCATAATTTTGCAGCTGAAATAAGTTTATGGTGTGTTTAATCATACCAGTACCCACTGGTAATCTTGAGGTATTGATAAACTGCGAGTGAGCGAGCCATGCAATTCATGCGAGCTACCTATCTACCCTCGTGTGACCACGTTTAACTGATTCCATGCGAGGCAGGACTAAGTCTACCTGCAGTATTATTGTACCAAAAGTGCGAAACACCTTAAAACAAGTTACAAATCCGTAAAAGTGACAATGACAATATTTTAATATAAACAATGATGTTCATATGACCTCATCGAGTAATACTAAAATCTAACCATTTCTTCAATCAAAAAGTGACTTAATTCAACCCGGCCCCCATCATATCCCTGGCTGAGTCTATGAGGCCTCTCCAACCTTGAAACCAACAGGAACTCTGGAAGGGGCACGGACGAAGAGGATGGTTGAATTCTTATAGATGAATCGTACCCACCCACCTGCATTTTAATCGCGTTCGATAATACCTGATGTTAATTTTCTTAGAATATATGATAGATTAATAAATAAATAATAAATAAATAGAATATTAAAACAGTATGTTGTTTTTTTCTATACTTTTGAGGATTACCATAACCACAACTTGTGAAGTCCGGCGCGTAAAGGCCTGTTTATATACTTGCAACGACAACGACAACGATAGAAAGCTAAAAAGCAATTGTTCATATAGAAAATAAAAGAAATGAGAGAAGTATTTTGATAAATGATAATCTTGTTATCATATAGTAATTTATGACCCGGTGTGATACCCTCTACCTCACCCCAACCCCCAGTATAGAAAACAATACGACATAGGGCCTATCTAATCCTCTCAAAACTTCCTAAAATGTGCAATTATCAGTGGAAATTGGCCTACCTTAACAAGAAATGCGGAGGGGGTGGGGAAATTGGACATTTTTAGGCACTTTCAGGGGTGGTTTCGCCACTGCGGAGAGTATCTGGCGGCTTAGCTTACTTGTTTATAAAAATTTCCCCAGTAAAATTGTGTGTATCCTGACATCATAATTTAGGCCAAAGTAAGTTAGTGTTTCCTAAGTCCAACTGTGGGCCAACCGGGCCAATTTTGGCAAAATAAATGTTGAGTCTTTTCTAACTCAGCCCTATACAAAAAAAATAGCTTGTTGTCCTATATTAAGTAGTACGATATCAAAACCGACCGACGCAAGTCGATAACCTGGGCAGTAGCATAGGCCGGTCGTGTGTGGCGAAGCTACATCCAAACCTTTTAGAACAGTTTTTACGGCATCGTGTGCAGAAATACACAGACATGATAGTTTTTTAATATGTGATTGAGTTATGTGCATGTATTGAGCTTTAATTTGATATAAAATTTGCTATGTTAATATGATTTTTATTTAAATGTCACATACATTTTGCATAATATATAGAAAAGGGGTGCGGCTTAAATTACCTTTATTGGCGTATAGACACCTCACAATACATTTTAAGTGTATAATGTCCACTTTATGAGCTTCAATTTGATACCAAACTTGATATGTTTATATGAACCCTTTATTTTTACATATTTATAGTATATATATGTAAATAATGGCCTAAATGACGCCATCAGATTGTTCGGAATTTTTGGCACCCCTTTTAGGATTATTAGTTGGACCGCAAAGAAGGTTTATGTCAAATGTGGTGCTTTTGTCACAAAGTGCAATATCAGCGAACGTAGGACCCCAGGCTTGGTAGGACGCCAGGTAGGACGGTCACGCATGAGTGATTCCGTTCTAGCGTCTCGTCATCGCACAAATCGAAAGCCAATAAGAAATTTATTTCGTTGTTTCCCTACAAAGTGACCTTAACATCATTCTTTATTGGTCTGACGTGAATCTAATGCAGATAAACACTTCAAAATGTAAAACAATGCATACCGTATACCTCGGTCTTCCCGGCATGCCAATAATCCATTTAATAGAAATATGCAGGAAGTTAATATAAATATCTATATAAATCTGTTGTTTGAAAAATCGTAAAATTTTGTAATTAATTACACATTATTAGACTTTTTTAATAGCTGCAATACACCGATTATAAAAGTCATTATACCTAAGCCTTGTTAAATTTATTAGCTGGTAAAATATTTCCTTTAATCAATATTTATTCGAACAATGGTCGAACCTTTGTCAAAACCTGTCTAGCTCATCCTGACCCAAAAATATAGGCCTATAGTTAGATCAATTAAAAGTGTTAAAATTGTTTGAAAATGTACATTTTTTAAATTAATTACACAGTACACATCTATAAAAATCAATCGTCTGAAAATGTTGTAAATTTTTTAATTAATTTCATAGTATTATACTTTTTTTAATAGCTGCAATACACTAATATTAAAAGTAAATAAATACGTAGGGCTTAAGACTTGTTAAATTTGCTTGGCGATAAAATATTTAGGTCGAGTCAAGCCAATATCATCAATGGTCGAAAATAACAAATAGGCCTAATATCTAATAGAGAATACAAAACAACAGGACCATTATTTGGATTAAAAATTGTCTTATCATGACACATTAAAACATAAAAGAAAAAAGAAAAGAATACATATCAATGTGTTTGCTCAACTGCAAACGCGCCGCCGTTTAAAACACAATTTACAAAATATTTGTTTTCAAATATTTAGCTCCGTAATTTTTGGGTTGAATTACGAAAA